TGATAGATTTCTTGTGTTTAATGTGTAGATCCTGAGTTTTGTATATGAACTTTTGGAATATGAATAGAATTGTACATTGATATTTTAACTTATAGATTTTGTTAGATTGTTTGTTATTGATTGAAGACTATAGATAGCTCTGGTAAATTATTGATGGTTTTAATAGATTGACTGAAATTCTTTCCAAGTTAGATCTTGGGGCGTTACAGTGACGGCCTGTAATTTCCAGCGATGGTAACGCCGGTGATCGCCTGTTAGCTTTGTCGCAGGTGTCTCCTTTTTCTCCTGCTCCCTTCCTTCTATATTTCCTTCCCTCTTCTTCTTCCTTTCGGCCGATTCTTTTAGTTCCTTTCGTTTGTTTGGTTTAACTGGATGAAGCAAAATGAAGATATCTCGTGTGAGGAGTCGCTATTTTTCGCTCTTGTACACGTTTTTTCATTCGTTCACGTGATTTGACCGTCCAGGCATGCTTACGCATGTGTGTGGCTTTGCCTGCTCGCGGTTCCCTTCCGTATCCACTCAGCTACTATAGCAGTCTGGTTCTGTTGAACTGGTCAGGTCCGATTCAAATAGTTATGTTGCTTCAAATTAGCCGTACCTAAAATTTATGGTTTTTACTACTAAAAGGATACGTTCTTTTTATTTTGATGTTATACAGTAGTAACACATCATTGAACCTTTGAAAGAAGCAATTCTAAGTTATATTTCATGCCTAGGATGCATGTGCGATCCAAAACTGTGAAGGTATGCCATTCTGATATGTCAACACATCAAGGGATATCGAGTCACGATTGTCAATTTTAGCAAATATCTCGGGTGCTTGTTTTGTTAGTGAATTTGAATTTCTTTGAAATTAAAGGGCAATATCACCAATGTTATTATTAATTGTGGCTTTTTTTAATATTATTAGTATTTCATTTTTTGAGTTTCTTTTTAAATTTTGTAATTGATGGATTTCTTTTTAATAATTTATAGGTTCTTACGTTATGAAGACAATTATTTTGTTCTTATAGTTTTTCATATTTGAATTACTATTCTATTACTATTATTAAGAAAAATACTTTCAATTATTTTCAACATCATCATTAGCCTCATCCAGAGTATTTATGATATAGCCAATTTAGTTCACAAAGGCTCATTTGGGCATACACCAATTAGTAGAAGTCAATACTACAAATAAGAATTGGGTCCATTTTGAAGTCTTTCAGACCCTTTTTATTTATGCCGGAATTTCTTCTTTTTATTTATGCCTGAATTTCTTCTTTTTTTAATTTGAAGTAGGTTTTATTTAAAAAAATAAAATTTTATAACCAATCAATAAAAAGAGTACAGCATCAAAGCAATTTCTAAGAATTGCTAGACGGAAATGAAAAAAAAAAAAACAAAATAAGTCATAAGGTAACAGCAAAACAAAAGATCATTCGATGAATAGTAGAATCACAGAAGACTTTTAAAATGTCTTGCTTGAAGTTAAGAGTGGCGATACATCTTTTTTCTGTTTCTTCAATGTTTAGAAAGAGAATTTTGAACCTTTTGTCCAATTGCTCTTCTATAATAGAAGTGCTAGCATTAGAATGATCAAATTGCGAGCTAATCACCACTATCTCAATAGCAGGATAGTCAGGAGCATATATAACAGATAGATCCAAATCAACGAACTTACCTGTACATGGTGCAAGCTTAATATGGACCCTCACTAAACCCTAAACTATCATGTAGTATTTTAGGTTTATCTTCTCTTGGATAAGATTAGGTTTAAATATGAATGTTTTTCATGATTGTATAGGATTAGATTGTCATTTAAATGTTTGAATATATAACTCTAATTCTATAAATGTGGATCCATGATATGTAATTAAACATTGTTTTTGATTGATTATTTAATGAATGCCAACCACTTGTGGCCAATCGAGCATTCTGTATTATTTTAAGAATTCAAGCCTAGCTTCTCATTAGAAGACCTAGTTTACCGTGTTGTTCATTCGTTACTCTATGTGCTCATATCCTGTAATCAAACCCATGCGCATGTCTAATAACATATCGAATCGCTTGATCCCACATAACGGCCCTGCACTCGCTACTTAAACCCAACATCCAATGCTTTAAGGAAAGTGATTTTTAATTAAAATTTCTTTGTACATATTCAGGCATTATGTTTTCAACTTGTGTTTTTTTAAAACCATATTTTTCAGAAATTTTTGTTTCCTGTATTCTTATCATGTGCATCTTTCTGTATGTGTTCATTTATCATATTGTCATCATTTGATTTATTACTTCTGCAATGATATTGGAAATTAACTGATTTTCTTTGGACAGGTATATGATGCAACCTATTCACGGCTCAGAGGGAAATAAGTTGATCATTGGGGAATCATTTTGGCGCAATAGTGGCATGCCCATATTTCATAAAGTAGGGATGATAATTCATGGAAAAGTGAAATTTTGTGCCAAATTCATGAAAATTGTAAAGGTAATTCAGCATTAAAGTGGCAAGAACATTTGATCCTTCGATCTGTAGTGTCATGCAAATTATTCTATTGAAAAAACTTTATATTTTTTTCGAGTTATTTAGTAACCCTCTGTGTGAACATTTAACATGGTAACAACTATATCATATTCCTCTCTTAGAATATTTTTTCCATTTCAACTAATATGTGTAAGCCTGTTCAGTAGTCTTGGCCAGTCTTATTGAATGCTTTTCTAATTGGTTATCTTATGTTTTAAGACTTAGGTTTCATTTGGGACTGTTTTTTTAGTGCTTCTTGAAGCAGCTTTCTAGTAATAAAAATTTAATTTTTATGCTAAAAAGTTACTTCAAGAAGCAGGAAAAAAGCTATCTCAAACGAAGCCTTAATACAAAATGTTTGCTGTTATTTTTTCCTGTTTTTAACTAGTTTTACTTTGAATTTGCAGCATGGCGGTGGCCAGGTGTTCAAGTCCTTGCAGCGATTAGTGCAGAGCTTGAAATATGGAACGAATACATTAGGGGTTATTCTTGTTAAGAATGAAAGCAGTGTTTCACGTCACTTGAAGCATTGTGCATTGGAACAAGATATACCAACAATGGTTAGTGTTGCTACCACCTATACAAAATTTGTCATGTGTAGTCATAACCCCTTGAGGGCCATAAGTTTAGGGTTTTTTTTTATTGATTTGATTTGAAGCCGATTTGATCTTTGGCTCAAGTTCAGCTTGAAGTACTTCCATTCAATCTTGAATTGAAGTTTTGTTATTGGTTGGTTTGATCTAATTTTGATTTTAGTAAAAAATCAATCTGATTTTGATTGATTTTCAATTAAATTTTTAGTCCAAGATACACACATGCATAGATGCATGTGTATATCCATTCATATATATGTGCATATGCATTTCAATCCAATCTTGAGCTCGTTTGATTTTGGTTTCATTTGGGACAGCTTTTGTACTGCTTCTTAAAGCAGTTTTTAGTATAAAATTTTAATTTTTGTACTAGAAAGCTGTGTTAAGAAACAATAAAAAAACTGTCTTAAACAATGCTTTTATCTCGTATTTGCTCAATTCAAGTTTAGTTTGTGCCAAGCCTATCACATGCGTTGGCTCATTGACTCTATCCTAATCAAAAGTCATTCTAATTTTGAGCTATCTTAAAATTCATAGACTTATGCTTCGGTTGAGATAGTTTTCTTACTGCTTTCTAAAGCAGTTTTTTAGTTCAAAAATTTGTTGAAAGCAGCAAAAAAATAGCGGCCTAAAGCAAACGAAAACATAAAATGCCGCAGCTCATTTATTGAAAAGTAAATATTCTCCACTTTGGGAGGCCATCTTTTCATTCATTAATCTAATTAAATTTTCATTTCTGAATGCTTCCTTTCTACAGCCAGCCAGCTGGATCATAAATAGCTTATTTTGTGGGAAGCTACTGTCTCCTAAGCGGGATCGTTGTGCACCGCTACACAGGATCAAGATGCCATCATTTCCTAAACCACAAGTTGACGTTGATATGAGTCAAGAAATATAGATTTCATGACAATTCAGATGATGACAAGTTCTGCAATTTTATGAAAGGTGAGAATTTTTTTTTTTGTATTTTCTTCTCTATGGTTGATTGAAATTAATAAGGTAAGATACTGTTAGATCTCTCTGACATTTGTTATCCATCGGATAGTAATTGTATGAATCGAATGTGCAGATCAAAAATAAAACATGTAAAACTGGATCAATTAAGGAAGATAGTGTCATGCCAGATTTTAGAAGCTGTGAGCTGACAGATTTCTCTTTTGTTCATGGATGCTTCCCTTCACAACATGAAGAGGTTATAAGTTCTGAGTTTATCTTAAATTATTGGTCTTATGATGGTTCGAGCCTTCTAACCATCTTGGAACACAACATAGAAGTATGCTTAGGCTTCGTTTGGAACAGCTTTCTTATTGCTTTTTAAAAGATCTTTCTAGTATAACAATTTTAATTTTTAAACTAGAAAGCTATTTTAAGAAATAATTCGAAAGCTGCCCCAAATGAAACTTTAGTTTATATTCAGCTTCATTTCCAAAGATTCAATTCTTTTAATCCTGGGACTGCCCATCTTATCAAATCTTCTCAGAGTTGAAGTCTCTATGGCTCTTTCACAGATCAATAGAGGAGCACTGCATGCTTGTGGCGCAACCAATCCTTTTTTTCTTCATCATAAAATGGAATAGCACACTTTGTTAGGGGTTCAGGCTTAGCTTTCTTACTGCTTTCTAAAGCAGCTTTTTAGTATAAGAAATTTTTAGTTCAAAAAATTCTTATACTAAAAATCTGCTTTAGAAAACAATAAGAAAGCTATATCTTAAACGAAGCCTCAAGCTTCTGTGCACCATTCTCTTTTTTATGATGTCCAATTCTTTAGTTTAAAGTTCTAGTTTGGCTATTTGTGGTGCAAGCAATTTATTATTTTGCATTTGAGCTTGACACTTCTTTCACTAATTATGATCAACTAGTTTTTTTTATTAGATATGTAAAAATATAAAAATTCTTTGATTGGTTTATGTATTTGAGCAACCTTAATGTATGATTTTTGAAATGTAGAAAATAACCTTCAAAGTTTTGTTGTTGTTGTTGCTATTGTTGTAATTAGTCACTTTATTATTAATCATATCTATTAAATTAGAAAATTGTATAAATGTTGTAATAAATCATATCTATTAAAGTGTGATAGTTATAAAAAATTAGTATTCAAAATTTTCAAAAGGGAAAAATCTACAATATTTACAATGGTCTTAGAAAATTTTAATTTTCTCATTGTAATTTTATGATATGTTTTCACAAAGAACTATAATTACTTCAAATGGATACTAAATCATAATATATGCTTTCATTCTAATTTAGTTCATTTTATTAATTTTGTTATTATTACCATAATAAATAATTTCATTATAATTTAGTTCATTTTATTAATTGTGATATTATTATAAGAAATAATTATGATTATTTATTTATTTATAATTAAAATAAATCTTAGCACAACTAATTAGAGTTTATTTGAGGCAGTTTTTTTTATAATTTGCTTTCTAGGTGGGTGTTATTATTGTATTTGACTATAATTTTCTTATTAATTATTTTAAGAAATTTTTTAAGTTAGGAAATTATTTTTTTTTTTGAAAATTACTAGAGTATGGTAGCTCTAAGAAAATTACTAGTTGTTCTAAAGGATTTATTTGAGGTGGGTGCAATTGCATGTGAAAAAAGCTTTAAAATAATTGTGAGAAAAATATTTTTTTTTTAAGTTGTTGTAGATATTATTATTTTTTTTTTTGAAAAGTCAAACAACAATTATTTGTGTTCTTCTGAAGAAAAAAAAATTATTTGTGTTCTTCTGAGATAATTTTTTTATTGCTTTATTTTTTTAGTTGCCACCACACTTTTATTTGATCGAATCTTTCTTATTACTTTTCAAATCAAATTTTTATAATTAGATCATGAGAATATGATAGTTATAAAAAATTTATTATCCACTTTTTTAAATGATCATAATCCTTATAAACTTCTAAATAATCTATTTTTATCACAAAATTTATACAAATTTGTTTATAAATAGTAGTAATTCAACCAAGCACTCCATGAAAATTACTACTCTAATTAATTTGATTGTAGAACATTACCCCGACTATAAAAATTTCGAAAATTCTATAAAAAATTATGGCCAAATGTATTTGTGTAAATTTTTACTTATTTATTTTTTTCAAAAAGCTATCACAATTATATTTCACTATAATTTTTTTAATTTATATGACGAAAAATAAATTTTATAACAAAATTTGGTAAAGATTGATGATTTTTGAAAACTAACATTTAAAAAATTGACTTGAAGCTTTCAAAGACATCCATTTCTTTGGCATTTCAATCAATTGCTTTATGGATCAGCCTCAGCAAAAGGTCCTCTTAAACGGGTCATTACAGGCCCATGATCGGCCCATCCGTCCAGTAAAATCTTCTCGCCACCAAATCCCACCACCTTTTATTTTTCTTTGAAATGGATGCTCTTGCTTCTTCAAATCTCATGCAAGCGCCGTGGCAATTGCTGCGGAACCTCCAATCACTCGCTGAACTTTAGGGTTTCTGCTTACCCCCCAATGGCAGCGGCGATTGGGTGGTATGGTCCTCTAATCGATCTTTCTAGGGCGTCTTCTCACGTTGGCGACTTGGTTCAGCTTCTCGTCTTCGTCCACCGCTCGCAACCGACCGAGGTTATGAATTAGTTTCCTTCGTCTCATTGTACACACCAGACACATTTTCCTTACCATTTCACCGATTCTCAGAGGGACTTAAATCGTTCGAAAGTGTGGACGGTTGTTTATCATGGTTCAAAGTTTTGAGTTTCATGATTTTAAAATGGTTTTCTTCGTTTAAAATAGAAAAGTCGGAGCAACTGTACTGCATTTGAAGAACTAACAAAATTCAACTCGTTGTCTTGGAATTTTCAACTTCATTCTTTGATGGGAAGCTCTATGCACGAAAAATATTGCATTTTCGGTCATGAAATAGCATACAAAATTGTAGACTAGTTGATGTTATTAGTCCTGAAGCACCTCTTCTGTTGTGTGGTATGGTGGCAAAGGACTAGCTCAGGTGCGTTATTAGTTGCTTGTAGAAGATTGTGGTGGTCATTGATGAATCAAGGAAGCACCTCTACCTTCATTAATTGGACATGTGTTCTTGATTGATCTCATCCCAAAATACGACTTTGTGGACGTTTGACATTCAATCTTTGCGGGTACAATTTTTGTAAGCCTAGCAAGTCGATTTGCTTTTCCAGTTGTAACCTAGAGACCTTCAGCAGCAAAAGCTAAGCTCACAACACATCCAGTGGTCTGAAGGGTTTGTTGAGATTTTGGTGGCTATTGAAATAATTTTTGTAGGAATTTAATTTGCTCTTAGTTGAATGGACCTGAGTCAAATGATGTTGGAGTCTCGGTGGTGGCAGTGTTGCATTGAATTTCAGCTTTATGTCGTCCTTGATTTGTAGTCAATATGTTTTCAATGTATCTTCCAACAATTATGACGAGTGTGCCTTGCCTTATGACAATAATCACTCTATGATTTGTTTGTCTTCTTGTGTATAGCACCCCCATTATTTAATTGAGTGCCAAGTGCTGCAAGGGCAGAGTTTTTTGAGTCTTGAGAATTGTGATGGCTCGTAAGGCAATGAGTCGAGCCAGGTCAAGCTCGAGCTCCATATTGTACAAGCTATAATTTGAGCCCAAGCTCGTCACTTAATAAGTATGATTTATGATATTATTAATGAGTCGAGTTTGAGCGGGCTCGCGAGTCAAGTCGACTCACTTACACCCTTAGTTGGGCATGCTGAATATTATATTTCTATTGCTTTTTTTTTCTCCTTCGAATCTCAGAGAATATTTTATGAATGCTGAGAAGATGCTTCATGCTTAAGATTTTCCCACAAATATCCTCAAAATTTTATTTTGGTAGTGTACATTCATTCCTATTCCATTATCATCCTACATTGGCTACTATTTTTTGTGAACCTTCATTTTATTTCATCAATGATGCCAAATTGTTGACATTAATGAGTTAACTAGTTGAAATATGTTGAGATGGAGTTGTCATCTTATCTAAGGTCATGAAAAATGCTCTCCATCTTGAATTTAGCCATGCTATTGTCAGCATTGGGGTAGGGTTTTTTTTGTGCATTCTAAAATTTTTTGGCAATTTTGGAATACATAATTTTTTTTATAATATCACTTTTCATATAATTTATGAGCCATGACATTGCCATAATATTTTCCACCACCTATGTTTGAAACTTGTGATCTTTTTCATTTTTTGCATGAGTCACTTATGTTAGATTGTCTTTGTTGCCTTCCCATAGGCATGCATCATCAATGATTGAGACAATTGAATGAAGTTTTTCCCATTAAGTTTGTAGCTAGTAAGAGGGGGGGGGGGGGTGGGTTTGGGGACAAAAAACTGAGATGAGGTGGTTATGTTGATTATGATAGGCTGATTAAGATTGGATGTTACTGCAGAGTAAGTAAGTGCTACCTTTGGTGCTAGCCAGGAGGGATTTTACGAGATGGATGGGATAATTAGGTGGAGTAATGAGCTAGAAATATGTGGAAGACTTAGTGAATTCAATTCTTCAAGGATTCTAGAGCACATATTAGGTATAAAATGAGATTCTTTATTATACCTAAAATTTTCAAAACGAATATAAGAATGAATTTTCTTCAAAATGAAAGCATATCCATATTTAAATTATGAGCTTAATAATATATTTCTATATTCATTTCAGTTAATAGGCATGTACAGACACTTTTGGGTATGTAAATGTTATTTGAAGTTTAATATGCTTTGTATTTTATTTGATGTGTTTAAATATGCTTCCAGTTATGAAATATTGATTTTAGTTCTAAGTTAAAAAAAAAAAGATGTTAGGATAGTTTGGATTGATTATTTCCTACTCACTTAATCTTGATAGAAGTATTTCAGGATGAATGTTAGTAAGAGATAGGTATATTCAGATTCACCTTCTCTGTTACACACCAAGTTGATTGTAGAGGGGGTCAAAATAGGGTGTGACATTATTCATGATCACAAAATTCTTTTCTAAATAGAAATAACGAGAAAATAAAAATAGTAAGACATGATTTGAATCTTTGAGTTCATATCATTATTATATTTATGATACATAAAGAATAAATGTGTAATGGCCCGGATCAATGAGGTGGACAAAACAATCTTCAAAACTTATTGGATAGGTGCACATAGATGAACAACATTCGATGGAAAGCAAGAAGATCTGTGGACTCTCCAAGATCCAGCATCCAATACAAATGATAGATGTTACATACACGTTGACTTTTTAAGACCAAAATTCTTAACCTCCCCCTTTCTTTTTCCATTAAATTGATAATATTTCAAGAAAAGATTTAAAAAATGTTATTCTTATGATTTGGTTGAAAATGTAAGGTGCAAATTTACAAACTTGATTACAAGGAATTCTTTTTGAAATAAATATGAGGTTGTGTGATTAGTGTGATGATAATGCTTTTATCACTCAACTAAGGGTGAGTTTGGCATGACAGGTAGATCCCTACTGCTGTGGCATTCTATAGCATGGACCATGAGCCACTATTTATTTGGTATGGATTACTTGGCATGTGGGTTGCAGGAGTACCATGCTTCTGCATGAGGAAGGTAGGAATGTGATATTGATCGTTAATCTAAATTTACCGGTTGATGTAGGCAAAATGGGCATTTAATAGTGGGTTGTTTTTTCTTCTATTGGGCTTGGCCCATTTGTCTATGGATGCTTGGTGTTTGGAGGATGGGGGCTGATTGGGGTGCTGTCTTCTTGGCGGCTGTTCGGTTTCCATGGCTTTCCTAGCTTGACTGTTCGGGTCCTATTGTTGTCCCTTGGCTTTCCCGATTTCTCCTGGTTGTTCGGGTCCTATTGTTGTCCATTGGCTTTCCTGATTCTCTGGTTGTTCGGGTGGGCTTCAGCCGAGCCTTAATTGCTGGCTTTTCTTCCCCTTTTTTGGTTGGCTGTGACTCTTTGAGGGGCGGTTGTGTCTTGTTGTTGGCCTCCTTTTCTTTCCTATTTAAGGAAGTGTTTTGTGGCTATTTTAGAGTGAGTGATTTGATGATTTTTGGAAAGTAAACCTATAGGTTTTCACTAGCTTGCGGGCTAGCCTCCTTCCCCATCCCTTTTAAAACTTCGTCTTGATCTTCTCACCTCTTCTTTTTATGCACGGTTCCCGCCTCACTTGTATCCTTCTTTTCTAAATTAATATAAGTTATATGATTGTAAGTTTGTTATATTTATGTTATAAGGAAGACATTTAGTTTTTGCAATCTTAAAATTTTGGTTGCATCACCGGTTCACCCTAATTCTTTGAATATTCTTGTTTGCAATATAATTTAACAATTTTTACATCTTTATAGTTTCACTCTGGTGTTTCTGTATTGTTTTATTATGAAAGTCTCTTAGATTCTTCTTGTCTATTCATGAACTTGTAGAAAGTTATTGCTTCTAGTAGAAGATCCATCTTGATGACAAACATTCAGGTTGGTGATGATACGAGACCATATTTTTTGGTGTATGTTTGGCATAAATATATAGGAACTATGATTGTTCCTGGAGATGTCATCTTATTACAAAGTAAGAACCCTTTATTTGCACAAGCTTTCTTGATTATTTGTATTTGTTTTCATCAGGTTTCCTTTGCAAGAGTTTTGCATGTTGAGGCACATTGGAAACTTACATTGTACACATTCTTTCATGATAGCTAAATCATATTGTGTTTTGTCATGTTTTTAGATCCTTGATATTAACCCGTGGAAACATGTGATGTTGTTCCATTGCATGTTTTTCTGTGCTTTCTTTCCTTCAAGTGTTTGATTTGATTACATTTCATATCAAGCCAGCCAACAAAATGCATCTTAAGCCTGTGTTATGTCATGGAAGCAAAAACATCAAACAATAATATAAAAACTGCAGAACGGTGGCTGATTTTTTTATTAAAACTTAAATAAGAGAAAACAATATACATATGATCTACAATTTGAGAGATAGATAAGCTCTACCAATCAACCTAGACGTCACTAGAAAGCCCTCAAAGAAAAGAATTAGAACAAACACTCACAAAATTCATCATAGCATGAACCTAAAACCCTAGAAAATTCTTCCTTAAATAACCCTAGAACACAATAACACAAATAGAATATTCATACACAATTAAACATAATTTAGGAAACCTTCCTAAACAACTAAACATAATTTAGAAAATCTTTATAAACAATTAAATACTTCATAATTAGTATAAACATAATTTAGGAAACTTTTCTAAACAATTAAACAAAATTTAGAAAATTTTCCTAAACAATTAAACATAATTTAGAAAATCTTCCTAGATAATTAAATACTTCCTAAATGATATAAACATAATTTAGGAAACCTTCCTAAATAATTAAATACTTCCTAAATAATATAAACATAATTTAGGAAACATTCTTAAACAATTAAATATGATTTAGGAACCTTCTAAATATCTTCCCCTAGGCCCCACAAGGTGTGCTCCTTGGCATATCAATACTCCCATTCCAAAGAGCCACCTTGTCTTTAAGATGTAAGGAAGGAAACTGCCTCTTAATCATCTGTTTTATCAACAAAATCTACTTCCTGTCGAGAACCATTTAGCACATGATCCAGATCTATATACTTCATTATTTGCTCATGCTTCACTCTAGAGAATATACCATCTTTCAACAATTTAACATTTTTGTCAATGCCTTCACTTTTATCTCACTTGCTCTAGCTATCCCAGTCATCAACTATTTTTTTTCTACTCAAAGCCAGAAGGTTGAAAAGAAATGATATAAAAAATCAGGTGACAATAAGGAACCACATGGATGCAGTGAGAAGTATAAAGGTTGTTGTAGTTGCAGTTCAATAGATTTGATAGACATTTAGCGGCATCATAAGTTCCACCCGTTGTAAAATGACTTCTAGAGTACATCATGTAGTTCTTTGTAAACTTTACATGTCGCCCAACGAATCCTCATCAAGTGGCTCTATATTTTGCTCCGCCATGTAGGATTGTCTGTCCAAAGTAATGGGATTTTGTTCCAAGCAAGAATGTAAAGAATACTAAGTACAATTAAAGTTGCATGATGATTATGTCGCCCAATGCAGTTCTGAATCCCCTTTTCAGCCTAATCTCAATAACCATGTGTAAGGCCACAAATAGACCAAGTTGGACCGTTGATTGAGATGCCATAGTAGCTTTTAGAGGTTTATTTCCTGTCATCAGTACCTGCTTCATAATGGCAAACTCAAGCCCACTTAATGACATGTAAGGCTAGCCATAGAGGAAAATGTGGAAGAAGTCAAATCGATGGTCCAAGTGATAGATATCTCTGCTAAGTATTTGTTCTTCATTGCTACAAGCAACCTTTACTTCAAATAGGGGAGATTTGGTTGATTCCAACATCACGACCCTTCCCAATTGGAACATACTCATGGTGGGCGATATTTCCTTGTCTTAATGTTGAGTTGAATCTTGCAAAGATATCCTCACTTAGGATGATTCCATGAGATGTCTTGCTTATGTCACCTCTAATGATGTGAAAAATTCTGTCAAACACACATGGATTCTTGTATTGGAAGCAGTCCTTTAGTGGGGCAGCCATAACCCTTTGTCCAATTGTCACAAAACTTGTTTCTTGTTTTGACATGAATCATTTCAGATAATTAAATATAATTTAGGAAATCTTCCTAAACAATTAAATACTTCCTAAATAATATAAACATAATTTAGGAAATGTTTTTAAACAAATAAATATGATTTAGGAACCTTCTAAATATCTTTCCCTAGGCTCCATGAGGTGGGCCCCTCTGGCGTATCAGTTTGTGATTGGGTTGTGTTTCTCTTTTAGATTTGCTAAGAAGTTTTTTTGATTGGTTCAATTATTAACCTTTCTTCTAGTTGATGTAGATCATATAACATCATTGTGTCTTTTATAATTTTTTCATGTATTTTTAATGCCAAATATTTTGCATAGTTTAAAGGGTTTCTCCATTGTGGCATTTAGGCCATTGGTTGAATCATGGGAACAAGCACTTTGCGAAGCAGGTGTAAGACCATGTACATGAACTTTGATTAGATCATGCATGACAGCAGTCTCAACATTCAACATGTCTTGTTAAAAGTTTTTAGTTAGCTTTCTTGTGTGGTACGAAGTCTCACTACCAGTGTACCTAGTCAACTGCTCATGTTAGTTTGACTACTATATGTCATTCCGATTGATCTATTTTTCACCAGTCACATCATGGCAGTTTGATTATTTACTAAGCTATGAGGTGCACAAGTCATGTAAAGATGTGTAATTCTCATATAATTGAGAGAGGGGGAATTCAGGTTTATAGGTACGAAACTATGCATGTTTGCATGTAACTATTCACAAGAGACAAATGATATGGGTTTGGTACACAATCGTATATGATTTAGGTACCTCTGCTCCTATTTGTAACTATACTTATATATGGGTTTGGGACATATCTATTTGCACGTCTGCTCCTACCCGCTCTATCTTGGAAACTTAGTTGATTGTCATTACCCTTGAATATGACGCCATTCAAATGGATTACCATCGACTTGACCTAGGTCTCATTCTAATGGATCTCAATTCATTTGGCCATCTCCTAGTTAGCCTAAGCTCTATCAAATCAGCAAAGCTAGCTAGTTGGCCTAATCAAGCCAGTTATGCTCCAAACAACCTGTCATTAGCCAACAATTTGCTTATCTCTATCCGATCTAAAACAGCTAACCAACAATTTGATTGGTTTAATGCAAATTGAGTCAGCAATCATACTAAATAGAAGAAAATCTAGGCCAATAACTTGGGTTGTTATATAGCTAAAATCCCCTTTCAAAGTACGCATAAGAAATCTGTAAATGACCTGCCCGGATAAAGTATTGTATCACGCCTTCCTATCCATACAAATCATGCAGCATGACCAGGTTTTAAAATGAAAATTAACTTACAAACTAAGTTCAAATTATCTGATGATACATTAGCATAACTTGTTATAGCTAAAATGATGTGAAACAATCATGGGAAGATGAGATGCTTAAAGACATTTGCATATTTAGTATTAGAGAACAATAATAAGCAAGATCTCATGTTGATTTGAACGATAAAATAAAACATTAAAGTGGTAAATAGCATTGGTTAAATTACATGCATAGAAGTTAAGAGCATAAAAATCAATTAATTTAATCCACTTTTGCATTCGTGAATGGTCTCAACAATAAATCCCTTCGTTAACATTACAACTAGCTACTACAAGGAATCCTTCACTCAACTCTTCCTATTACTAGGCTTTAGCGGAGGGACCAACAACATCTTTGTGAATCAAAATATAACCATGTGGAAGAAATAAACTAAGAGGCTAAAAGAGTCGGAGGTCGAGTTTACCCGAAGTATGACGTATACGAGGCTCCGGTGGTCATAGGAAGGCTTCGAAGGAGGTAGGTGGCATCCACGAACCTTCTTGAAGGTGTGATCAGCAATCTGACGCGTCCTGACAGCGTTTGAAGACCTTCCACTCGGCTGGACAGCAAGAAACAGGTGCAGGTTTTCTCAGGACAGCACACTCTCATGCCCAGAAAAGTCTCAGGCAGTGAACGGGGACTTATCCGATCAGTTGGACAGCAAGGTAAAGCTGTCCTGAAGGTGCTGCAGTAATAGGGGCTGGCGGGAAACAAGGGGCAACTAGCTGTCTTTCCTGGACAGCAGTTTGTGAGCCCTTGAGTTGCCGGAATACTACGGACTGGTGCAGGAAAAACTCTGGCAGCAGCTTGGGATCCTTTTAAGAGGTTGGAAAGCAAGTTGTATGGTTCAGAAAACTTGAACTGCAGACGTTGGCAGCAACGGGAAAATTCTGACATAACCACGGTGAAATTTCCTTTGCTGGAATTACATGGCAGCAAGGGGAAGTCCAAGAATTAATGCAGGAGGAATGACCTTGGGATTCACATTAATTCTAAAGGCTAGAAGAGGGGATTAAATTCAAAACTGAAATTGATTTCAGATTTTGAATACTTTGGAGGGAATTAATTTGAAATTGATCTCAATTAATTAGATTAATGAGCATTGAATGGGGGCCCATTAAAGGGGTGGCCGGCGGTTTCAAGAGAGAGGGAGGAGGGATTAATGCTAATCCTGAAATTAATTTCAGGATTTGGGGAGTTTTGGGGGGAAATTAATTTGAATTTGAAAATCAAATTAATTAGAGAGAGAGGGGGAGTTAATGTGGCATTAATGGGGGAAGCCTAGGTCGCCGGCGGGTTCAAGAGGGAGAGGGAGAGGGAGGAGGTGGGAGCGAGTTATGATCCTTCCAAATTAGCTTGTTTTTCCCTTTTTTGAACTATATATCATGGGGTTGTGGCTTCTTTATTTCTTCAGATGTCAAGATCATGAAATTTAGAGAAGTTTTGGAGGCTACAACTCTTCAGATTTCTTTGATGACAGTTTTGGCTCGTGGTAGTGATTTAATTGCATCTAAAGGTACCTCCATTTTTTTTACTAATGCTTTTAGCTGGAGTTGTTTGGGTATAACCACTTCTTTTACTTTCTTGTCTTTATCACTCGGTTAACTATTATGCCGCCTTTTTCTTCTCTTCTTTCAAATCGACTTGCATTTCCGGTTAGTTGTTCTTTTCTTTACTGTATTCTTTTTTGTGATTTAGAGGTATGTCTTGACTATCTTATTGTAAGGTATAATTAATTTGCAAATTGATTTATCAATTAGCTAGTTAATTAGTTAAAATCTGATAGTTAGCTGATTAAATGCATAAGCTGGGCTTTATTTAGTTAGCTACAAGATAAAGAAAATATATAATATTGGAAATATATTATTTAAATTAAAAAAAGCTAAACGAAAGAACTATTTATTTTTTTCTATTTTTCTTTATCAATTATCCCTCGTATCATTTATTTCTCTTTATTTATCAATTAACATTTCACTATTATTTATGGTTTACTTGACCTCATTTTCAATCAGGTTAGGTTTTGAATTTGTTAGATTTGTTTTAAGATGAGTGCAATACAAATTTTAATTCATTACTCATATATTGTTCTCATCTCAATGCAAATCAAATGATTTTAAGATCTATCCTAAATTATACTCGGTTAAAATATCCTTATACATTTTTTTTCTCATCTGTCACATCATGTTCCCATTCCACTTGCCTATCACATCATGATCCCATTCTGTAAGACAAGATTTTCATCCTTAAAGTTGAAACCTACACAAATCTTATTATGCGTTGATTATTTCTCATATGAACAACAAGCTTCACGCATGTGCCAATCTTATTATGTGTTGTTGAGTTTAGGAACACATATTTCTTCCAACAATTCCACATCTTCGAATGCCTATGTGGCCACATATTCTTCCGTAGCAACCAAGCACATCTTATCCACATAGTGTAACTTCGCTCCTAAATTCCTCTCTTCCTCATAGAAGATGAGAAATTATCAAGTGTGAATAACATATGTAACTTTATGCGCGGGTCCAATAGTTCAGTGATAACTATCACTAGGTGCAATTTTTGTTGGAAGACTCACCGCAAATAGGGTCCTAAGACTAATGGCGATTGAATGAAGAAAAAAAAGTTGAATAGAAAGGAGACCTGAAACTAGGGGTGTAAGCGAGTCGAGTCGGCTCGACAACGTGCTTGCTAGCCAAACCTTATCGAGCCTTGAGCTCGTGTATTAAACATGCTCTAGTTTGAGCTTGACGAGGCTTGGCTCACGGGCTTGCGAGCCAGCTCTTATTATATATTTGTTCATTTTTTTCTTATTAATATTTTTTTTTAAACATTAGGTATTAATTAACTTCACCTATAAAGCTGTGAAGGAATGAAAACTTCAAAATTTTCTTTAAAAAAAGATAAAAAAATAGCATCACACATTTCAACAAAAAGACTAGCAATTCACATCTCTTTTAATACCCAAAAAATTGTCTTATCTTATTCTTCTTCTCTATGAATATGAGCGCAAGACTCATGTTTGCAGCAACTCACGCATATTTTTCTTCTCTCACTGCAACATCTCATGCCTTCTTCCTCTATGGTGATTGTCAAGCCCCTACGGTTTTCTATGACCTCACGAGCTAGCTCGTTAGCCCACCTTTCTAACCAAGAGCCGAGCTCGAGCTCAAGTTTGAGCTTGTGATTTGGCCGGTGAGCCGAGCTCGAGTTAGGTATGAGTTCATCTCGGTTCGACTCATTTACACCCCTACTTGAAACACTACTTCATATCTTGAGGTAGAATACTATGAAGGATTACATTATTTCTTCAATTTTCTTATTTTCATTTTTATTTTCTTATAAATTTAAATAAAAAAGAACAAAAAGAAGGTGACTCAACCCCTCGCGTGATTTTTCATTCCTCGTACTTCTTGAATGAGTGGTCTCTCACATTTTGACTAATGCGACAACATAGGCAATATCAGTGTCATTTTTAGGTAATATCGACGTTTCGGACGCGTTGGCACAACCCGTTTTAAGAACTATTTAGTTTGCACAACATTGCGTTTATAGATCATCATTTTTGTGATTTCTCGATCTAGTTGAGCAGGCGTGTTTCTTCTTGAGTAAATTCGCTATCCTGAATGCGTCTGCGTGATGTGTTTCACAAACAAGAAATGTTCAAGTGGTTTTGATCGCGAACGAGGTTTTTCGAAGTCGCTATGTGGGACATCGCATCGATCAATCATCGTTCTTGTTACACTCACTCGAATCGATCACAAACCTTAAATAGAGGTCAACTTTGGGTTGGTACTAGTGCTAAAAAAAAAGAGGGTCTTATGCATTGAGTCTCAGCTGACATCACCCTTTTATTCCAAATTCCTTATTTTTGGTCTAAGTCGTGGCGTGTCTTTCAGTTTCAATCCCGTTTAGGTTCATATGCATTGATGGGTTCTTAACTAGAAAATTTTTTGTATCGTTATTTTCTATAGAAAATCCTTATCAATCGTTGCTACTTTTTAATTTCAGAACAAAAAACTGATGACAAGGGCCTTTACTAGAAACATGTTCCTTAAACATATCTTTCTAAAGCTCAAGTTTCTGAGATTGCAAATATATGAAGGAAAAAAAAATTTCATCACTTCCTTGCCGCTCACTTTGAATTTGCGTCTTTTTATGTTGGTCTTTAAATGGTCACCATTAGTAATTAATGGCCAGCGACTTCATAGTTCTATGTATAATGTTTGGAATATGGCCACATATTGAAGAAAAAATATTTTCCATCAGTTGAAATCACCAATATACTTCGGATTTGATTTGTCATTAAAATCTCTCACTTCTTTTTCTAGCCAGTTATTGATATTTCACGATGCTACATTTAACCATTGTAGTGGCTTGATAAAAAAATTTCTTTTGCATAGACAGTGATCAGTTAATTGCACATTTGCGATTGGGAAGTATGGTCAGAGAAAAATATAGTAGGGTCATGTACTGGATACAACATACAGAATCTGCATTGCTCCTTATTCGAAAAACAGATGGAGGGCAGGTACCTTTAACTAATTTGCAATTTTACTGTCATGAATTTTCTCTGCATGTTAGTTTTTATTTTTTAATACGGCTATCTACGAAGCTTTAGTTGACCTCTGAAATTCTACCATTTATACATATGCTTCGTGGTATTTATAGAGAATTTAATTTTCATAATATGATAACAAATTGTCATCTGTGGAAAGAACTTGGGTTTCTGGTTTAGAATGTGCAATCATGTTATGAGTATAAAAATCATACTTTCTTTCTGATACCATATTTCAAGTATGTTATATACCTCTAGAATGTGATTTTGATAATAAGTTTTCAGTAACAAAATTTTTACAGTTTCTTAGAAATTGAGTTCTCCCTTCAGAAATATTTTAAAATAAAAAATAAATAATAAAAAAAAAGAGTTCTCCCTTTAGAAGGTCCAGAAATCTGTAGTTCTATCTAGTTTATTGAGTATGGACCACTGATTTATGCTTTGTATGGTTTGATGATTCCAATAAGTCGATTATTAATATTGCATTTACTAGTTCATTTCCTATTTCGATCAACCAGTTTATCAGTTTTAACTTTCTATATCAGTTATTATTAACTATTATTCACGATGGCATTTACATTATACTAAGGTTACTTACTATTACACATTATCTAGGATTCCTTCTGGTGGGAATGTAAATAGACATAATGATTTGCTATTTAGAGTGGTGCATAGGAAGAGTTTTGGAAGCCTTGAATTATTGGATAACTTGAGAGGAATATATAAGAAGAGAGAGAGAATCATTCACACATTCTATAAGGTAGAAAGAAGCATTCCAAGCATCATTTCATTCATACCTCTTGGATAAATTAATGAAGGTATGATTATGAAATTTCAGTGCGGATTCATGTACTTTGTATGTGATCTTAGGTGTTGTAAAAAAAGAAATTTAGAAACCGTGGAAGTTTCGAAACGATTTTAACAAGAAAGTAGCTAATGAGTGATTACATTTATTTTATAGCAATGTTAGTTTTCTTCTATTTCATTACAATTATTGAACATTATATGACATGTTTATCGGTTATGGTTAATGTGTTTATTATGCACCAAACAGAAGAATAGTATACAATTAAAGTTACAAAATGATATATATAGATATCGATGTATGAAAAGTGCATATTACTGATTAATATATATGTAATGAAAAATGAAATGAATAAAATGAATCATAAAATATAAATAAAAGTATAAAAAGAAAGAAAAGATGCATGCACGAAAATATAGGAGTTTACCTCCTTGTGATACATGGCTAGGGATGCAACGTACCAATGCATGTTAAATGGAAATGGAATTGCTTGTACCTTCATTGGTACATAATTTTGACGATACTTCTGTATTAAATGAAAATGAATAAATGAATAAATAAAATAGAAAAAGGGAATAAGTTATTTGAATTGGAATTTATATTTATCTTAAATGTTTACACATATGTTAAATGAAAAGTTTGACAAAAAATGCAATTGTTTTTATGTTTGTTTAACTATTATATTATAAGCTATAATTATTCAATGAGTTTATTATAAAAACTCAAAATGTGAAATTGACATTTTGAGTAATTCCTTCGAGAAATAAATGGCTGAGAGAAAAAATTTGTCTATAGAAAGAGATCAAATGAAAATAAGTAAGAATCGGTTTATTATATGTTTAAATTAAAAAATTAGTTTTAGTGGCTCTTCAATTATATGTTGAATGTTAGTCTGTTAAGTATTTTATATTATTGAAAGAAATGTATTAACCGTTCGACCATTTGTTCTCATCTCGTTCATTCGAGTCTCCATGCTCAGTCGTGACACCTAATCCGACTTGGAGATTCGAATTAATGAAGCGAGAATAGATGGTCGGACAGTTAGTACAGTTCATTCAATAATATAAAATATTTAATAAGCTATATCTAACATATAACTGAGGAGCTACTAAAATATTTTTTTCAATTTGAACATATAATAAACAAGTTCTTATTCATTTTCATTTTGGTCTCTTTCTTTTGTAGACAAATTATTCTCTTTTTACTATTTATTTTTAGGGAATTTACGTAAAATTTTTAATTTAACATTTTAAGTTTTTTATAATAAATTCAGTTGATAGTTACAGTTTATAATATAACAATTAAACATATATAAAAGCATTCATGTTCCTTAACCAAACTTTTCATTTAATATATACATAAATATTTAATTTAAATGTAGATTCTAATTATATTTCTTTCCCTTTTTCATTTATTATAGGAGCACCGTCAAAATTTTTTACAAATAAATATATAATTATTTCAATTTAATGTGCATGAGTACGTTACGTCCCCAGCCAGTATCATGATGAGATGAACTATATTTGCATGCATGTACCTTTTCCTTCTTTTTATACCTTCATTTATATATTATGATTCATTTTATTCATTCCATACATTAATTTCAGATTTTTTGAATATATATAGAGTTTTTAAGCTTTTGGTAGAATTTAAAGGTTAACCCCTTCGGTTGATATTAGCTTTCAACACAGTCATCATCGGGGTGACTTTATCATCACTTTAAATGTTTATATTTTATTAGCGTAAGAGGCATCTTAAAAGTTTAGGGTCCTCTCTGGTTGTGATTTTTTGTCAACACAGCTATCATCGAGAATATTTAAATAGGTCGTGTATATATCATTTGTACTGTGTCAACTTTGACTACCCACTAATAGAGGATTGGGTTCAATTATTGATGTTGTGAGTTATCATATGGATATTGAGAATCAAGAATTTTATGTTTTTAGCAATGAGCCTTTATTGTAATAGACCTTGAAGGCCTAATATGAACGTATAAAATCAAACTCCGGTTGGCACTATGACTGTATATTTGTTCAACGGTTTAAGTTGTGTCGACTCCTACCCATTCACGAAGACGGATCAGACTTGAACTTAAGTTTATTTCTTGATCCGCGTAGTATCCTCAGGCGTCACGTGTGTGTATACATCACACGCGCCGGGGCCCATGCAGGTATATACTTTTGAATCCATTTTGCATGATGTATTTGCATGTCGGCATAGCACGGTACCGGTACACAACATATTCTACATGTTTTATGGTGTATTTTCGCAATGCATATATGCATGATGTAATGACATATTAATGTAATGTGGCGCCACAACATGGCTTACTTTGAATTTTGAGTGATGTATTTGCATGATGCACCCTGCACCCTATATATTGCAAATGTATGCATGTAATGAATATGTTAGTGTGTATTTTAATGCATGATGAGTATTTTTGTAATATTTAAATATGAATAATTGTGCAAATGATTTTCATTTAGAAAAGGGCGAATTTTAAAAAGGAGCATATTTAATGCATAATTAAACAAAAGAAGTGTGACCATTAAAAATTTTAAAAATGAGCAAAAATGTCAAATAATTTTGCATTTTCTATAGAAAATGCTAAATAATTAAGAAAACGTCATATTATTTGGTGTTTTTCATAGAAAACACCAATTAATTTGGTATTTTTTTATAGAAAATGCTAATTAATGAAGAAAATTCAAATCATTTGACGTTTTCTTTATTTTGGTTTTTTTTTCATTGGAGAGCTGAGAGAGAGAAAGATGGGAATTTGTAAAAATATATTTTAAATATTTGATTAATAAAATTTTTATCTATTTAAATAATAATCATTTTAATTAAACAGTTAAATTATTATTACTTAACAATCAATTATAATACTTCAATCTATTATTTTAAATGTTTAATTAATAATTATTTTAACTACTCTTTTTCTCTCTCTCGTGTCTTTATCTCTATCCTCTCTTTCCCTAGTCAACTCTCTATCCCACGCCTCTCTCTCTCTCCAATGAAGAAAACGTCAAATGATTTGGGTTTTTCTTCATTAATTAGTATTTTTATGGAAAACACGAAATTAATTGGCATTTCTATAGAAAACGCCAAATAATTTGATGTTTTCTTAATTATTTAGCATTTTCTATAAAAATGCCAAATTATTTGACGTTTCTGCTCCTTAAATTATTTAATATTGACGCTTCTTTTGCTTAATTACACATTAAACATGCTTCTTTTTAAAATTAGTTATTTAGAAAATGCATGAGTTTTCTTGAGGGGGCTTGTGATTGTACGAATATTGCGGATCCATTGGCGTTGTTTAGCAGTGCGTTAAGTTTCACTTGTCGTGCATCGACAGTGAAGTTTAACTCATTTCATCTTTTGCATTGTGTCATTTTCTTCAATATTCAGCATACAGGAGGGTACTACTGGCAAATAAACTGTACGGTACATCAGGAGCCCTCCACCAATGATCCATAGTTTTTACTACAAATTTTATGCTTTTGCTTGCAAGTGAATCATAGTGTTGCGCTACAGGTCATTTGCTACTTTATGCATGTAAGATGTCGCTCAATGCAAATTTTGTTGAACTTATTCATTATCCAGCACTAGGCATTCAGGAGCCACTAGCTATTGCATGTAGATGGGTCGTAGCGATGCGTTATGGGTTGCTTGTTGCTTCTTGCTGGTGAGTTGTCATACAATGTTAAACTCTTGCTAGCAAGTAGTCATTCAAAAGCCAGTAGCTGTCACATGTAGATGGATTGCGTTCAGCATAAATTCTCCAGCATTGCCTATAAGAGTTGTAGCATTGTGCTACAGGTTGCTTGTGGCTCTTTGCAGGTAGGCTGTCGTGTCATGCAAGCTTTGTTAAATTTGTGTGTGGGTCATTAGAGGGCATTCATAAATCACTAGCTATTGCATGTTGGCGAACTAATGTTGCTTGTTGTGTTGCTACAGATCGTTTGTCGCTTCCTACAGGCAGATTGTTGTGCGATGCAAATCTTCTTGTGCTACTCGTAGAGGTTTGCATTTACACTTCTTTGTATGTGCTTGCATTTGTTGCATATTGATCGTCTTTGCTTGTAGGGTTTCAATGCATTTACCTAACATCGAATGGTTGTTTACTGCAAGGGTGTCGTATTATCCATTGTCTGTTGCTGATTATCACCCGTCGGCATAGTATTATGCATGTGACAAATCTTTCATTATTGCCAGCAGGTGTTTGCATTCATCGTGTGTTGCATTATGTATGTTTGCAAGAAGCTTCATTGTTTGCAAGCAAGCTAATGTGTTCATTTGTTTGTTGATGTAGGCTGTCGGGTGAGTTGCATTCATCGTTGATTTCCTTATACACATTGATTGGCATATTGTTGTATTCACTTGCATACTGGCTTTTTTGTGTTCATAGGAAATTGGTATGTTTGCTTGCATGTTGATTAGCATCACTTGTAGGAATGTCACTCTTCATGAACACATTACTGTGTTCATTACAAGTATCACGCCCCTTCCGCAAGCATGAGTGTTATACATCAAGTAATATCATTCATAGGTAATTTTTTTATGATTATTAAGAGTTTTGTGCATTCGTTTCCTTGTCTTTCAGTGTTCGTGGGAGCTGTTGTATGTATTTGCAGGCTAGTAGACATCGATCATAGGGGGACTGCCTCGTTACAAGTTTGTTGCTTGTGTTATTCTTTTAGCGGGTCAGTATATTCATCAGGAGTTTTCCACTGAGCTGTCACATTCATTAGGGGCTTCATTCGTTAGTGCTTTCAAGCTTCTTTGCACAAGCTTGCGGGCTGATTGATATGAACGTTGCAGGTTTCATATTGTTCATGTGTAAGTTAAGGGTTTTGCAGCAATACTTGCAATTAAATTGTATGTTCATATTGACTGTTGTTTGTGGGTGAGATGTAGGAATTTTTTTGTCCACCACAAATCATTACTCGTTCTTTTTTATTTAACTTTTCATTATTTTGTAAATTGCAAATTTCGTTAAGTCTAGTTCCATGTGGTTCAATTTGCAAGTTTTGTTCCCTATGAGCTGTTAAAGTTCTATTCCATGTGGTTTGAATTTTGGTATCTCCAAATGTCTCCCCTGTTTAAAAAAATTTTGGGAGTGTAGGCCTGCCCATCACATCAAGAAAGATTTGTATGGTTGGTGTCAGGTGACACTGCGACCATGATTTTCAACCCCACCACGCTACGAAAAGCATGTATGGTTCTTCGAGGTACTTGTGTTGATGTTTGCAACTTTTGCTCATAGGTATAGAAGCACGTGCATGGGTACATAGGAGTATCCCCGCCATGCTATAAAAAGCTGGTATAGGATTTACCCATCTCGCCGCAAGAAACGCAACGAGCTCCCTCTCCCACGCTAACAAAAGCATATATATGTGGTCACTCGTTATGCCACAAGCGCAGAAAATGAGATTTTGGGGATTTTGAGTTTTTGAAGTCATTATACCTTCACGAGAGATGCTTGTGGTTGTGTCGAGGCAACGGTGGCAACGACGGCGATGTCGGGGGCGATATTCATTACAGTCTTCTTATACATTCCTGTAGGCGAATTGTCACGTTCATTGCTTCTTCATAGGCAATTTGTCATACACATTTCACATTCCTTTGCATCGTGAGCAGATTGGCGTGTTTATTATAAGTCCTTGCAATTACTTGTAGGTAGCCTGCTATCATTGTTATAGATTTCCCATTTTTGTTCAATTCGCCAAATTTCATTTTGCTCGTTTAATTAAGTTCTGTTCCATGTGGTTCATTCAGGTTATGTTCCCTATTCATTGTTCAAGTCCTGTTTGTTTTTCAGTCCGCATTTCAACAACTTCCCAGCATCTCTCATTTAGAAAATTTTTGTGGAGCTAGGTCTTCCCACCACAATACGAAAAGCGTGTATGATATGTGTCGGATAACACTGTGGCTGTTGTTTTTCAATCCCACCGCACTACAAAAAGCGTGTATTGGTCTTCGATGTACATGTGTTGAAGCTTGCGAGTTTCCCAGTAGGCATAGAAGCATGTACTCTGGTACTTAGGAGTGTCCTCAACACGCTAAGAAAAACATGTACAAGGACTACCCGCTTCGTCACAAGCCTCACACCGAGCTCCCTCCCACCACGCTAAGAAAAGCGTGTATAGGTGGTCCGCTCATTGCGTTGGAAAACAGGATTTGGGGAATTTTGTGTTTGGCGGACTTTATACCTTAGTGATGAACGAAGATGGCAGTGTCGAGGCGACGACGATAGCAGAATGAGGATCGAGGCACATAAATTTCTCTTTTCTTTTTTCTTTTCCTTTCTTTTTTTTTCTCTTTTTCTTAGATGATGATGGTGATGATAATAATAATAATAACAATACGATTAATAACAATAATTAAAAATAATAATTAATGATAATGATGACAAAGGGAAGGGGAAAATGGGTTGATCTGGGTAGATGTGGCTGTTGTAGGTTCGTGAGGACTTTGGCGAGGAGAATTAAGTGGATGAGGGTTGTCTGGCTATGAGGTGGAAGAAGCAGGAGAAGGATTTGCGACTTTCATACGGGATGAGCTTGTGTGGATTAGAGGCAGCAGGTAGGGTGAAACAAACCCTATTTGGCGTCTGGTATCAACACAGGGGATAGCTACGGTTGTGTGTGGGATCAGATTGGGGAGCTAAAGGAGGTCGATCAACTAGTTGTGGGTGTCGGATCGGACAACTGGTTCGATAGGGTTGGCATGTTCATGTGAGATCAAGAGAAAGGTGACGGGCTGGGTCAGTTTGGTTGTCAAGCTAAATTTATGCACAATAATGACATACTTTTAGGGATGCCGTGATGAGAGGAATCTAATTGTATTGTTAAAACAAAAAATATATAATAATTTAAGTAAAAAATAAGATGTACTCTCTTGAAAATTTTAGTTAACAACAACTAGCGACATTAGATTACTTTTTAGAATCGCAATATTTGTCGAACCCTGTCATAAATAAAGGCTGGCTTAGCGTGCAAAAGTGGGTCATCTGTTACAGATGACTATGTTCGATATTAAATACTAAAATATATTAAATTTAACAAATTTATATTTTAAAATTTACTTAAGTTTTAATTAATTTACATTTAAAGCATAATAAAATTTAAATTATTTTACGAAAATAAATTTAAATGATATATATATATATATATATATATAATTATTGATATTATTTGATTTATTAAAACTTATGAAACATTTAATTTTTTCTAATATAACTAAAAATTATAAATTTTAAAAATAAAAAATTAATAGAAAAATTATATAAACTTTTTTTATATTAGAAACAAATTATAAGCTTTTATAAGTTATTTTTTGTATTGCTTTAAAATTTTTTGTATGTTACTTTATTATTTAAATTGATTTTTTACTTATTAATCATATATTTTAGGCTAATTTTTAAAAAGGAGCGTACATAAGATTTAGTCAAGCCTGTAGCAGCAGTTTTACTATTCATTAATTAGTGATTATGATGACAATTTAGATTTATTATGGATTAAAAAGGTTTTTATTTTATTAGAAATATTAGTGCTTGGATGGACTTACTATAGATTAAATAGACGTAACTAGGCTGTTAAATTATAATTTTAAGTGAGAAAAATATAAGCAAAATGAAAAATAAATCAAATCTAATTTAGCGTTGGTTTTTCATTATCCATTCTTGTGATCTAACTGAGATCAAAGTACAAGACTAAGCACATGAAAAATGAACAGGAGGGTGATGGACAAAACAAAGAACGGAAAGAACTGAATTGTTCAGGTGGATTCAGTTCCTTAAACTTCACAACTGGATTACAAGGACTTTACATAGAAATTGTTATTCGTGAGAAGTGGGAGTTCAACATGTGTAACTTCGTGCGTTGTTTTATACATGTATATATGCATTAACATCCTGCGGTTGAAAGGATCCAGCATTTATATACAGGCACCATCGATTATAGATGGACAAAACTACTGTTAATCCTTAATATGATATGGATGATCTTCATTTCCCAAGTTAGAAATAAACTTTTGATGACTTGATGCATTCCCTGATACATCAATGTTAAATTTTTTTATTTATATACAATTCATGTTAGATGTAGAATTGCGAAGTACTTAAAATTGAAAATTGAAATTCCCCTACAGAAGTTTTTTTACTTCTTAGGCTTGACGGCTTCTTTCTGCTTCTTAAAGCAGTTTTTTTAGTATAAAATTGCTTTAAGAAGCAGAAAGAAAACCGTCCCAAACGAAGCCTTAGTCAGTTTTTGATGAACTTCATTTTTTTACACTGGATATTACATATTTATTGGTAGATGATCAATTGTTTATTGATTTTATTTCTATCAAATTGATGGAGGAAGCGGAATACCTTACAAGTGCTTAAAAATTGGAAGTCAGCTGAGGGTCAAACGCCAAACTTTTTATCCATCAGAGAAGTGCTATCCCTTGGGAACACATGTAAAGTAGTTTTCCATGCCTTCATCGGTGAAATTTTTTTGTCATCATGTTGGAGATACGATGAGGCTAAAGAACATTTATCTTTGAGAAAGTCTTTACTCGAGATGGATAAGACCAGGATCACGGAAAATCTTATCTGTGTGGGTTGTACGAAATGTGGCTTTCCGCTGGATTCTAGGTGTGTTGTAGAATTTAAATTTTTAGCTTCTTATTTTATTAAGAAAAATTTTCTCTTGTTTGATTAATCTTCTCTTCGAAAAAAAAACAGGTTTCCACTTTATTGCAGCAATAATTCCAATTATGTTCATGATATTGGTCAGATATACAGACCATTCCTGGTGAGCAACTTTGAAACCTAAAATATAATTGGTGCATGATTCAGTTACTGGTGGGAGTAAATTTCTCATTCGTTCCTTCCATTGCTTAAGTGCTATGGATTTTCTGCATTATCATTTTTTTCCTGCTAAGTTTTTATATAATTTTTTGATAGGCATGTATGGACAAATAACTTCTTGAACCAAAATAATGTAAATAATGTAAATATAAGTTGTGATTATTAGCATATTGATGTTTCTTTTAAAGTATTGGTCTTAAAAAATTATCTGAATGATTGGTGTTTCCTAAATATCTCCATCATAATTTTTTTTATGAATTTGTATGATCATCCATCTTAGGAACAATATCAATAGACAAGTCATCAAAAGATGCATTTTTCACATTGTCCATTTATTTCATCAACTACATTAGGTGTGATTGGTTTATATTTACATTTCATATTTAAATTTGATCCTAAGCCCAATTTAATTTTAGTTTCAAAATTTTGACTCTTGCTCAAGTATAGTTAATATTATCTATTATAGGCGCATGTTTCGATTTAACATCATCAGGTATAAAATTCATATTTATATTGCAAATTATCTTTTGCATCTAAAATATCCTCAAAAGAATCATAAACTATTATGTTATCAATTGAATCTTCTATCATGTATAATTCTTGGGTTGGTGTGTATGTAGCAGACTTGTGAGGAGATGTCATTTTTTCTTTAGAATATCGGTTACAAGTGTGGTAGTCCAATTAGAATGATTCTAATGCTCTTTAATATCCAAAGATATATATAAAATTTAATGCAATATTTTTGGTGAATTGTAAATTTTTTCATCTTTTATTTCTCAGGTGAGATTTATAGTGAAGCAAATTATAGTAACAAGATGATTTTAAAACATAATGTTTATATCCAAAACCTATTAACCCTGTTTAATACTTAGACATAATATATTTATCATGTTTTCAAATTCTTAATTTGATCATTTTATATTCGCCAATAAAAAATAATTATAGAGTATAAGGTTAATGATGAAAATTGGTAGGGTATCGCTGCAACGGACGACTCATGTTAGCTTTGAGGTTGGGGAAGGAGGAAGCACGAAGAGATGAGGAAAGAAGAGGAATTTGGCTCACAACTTAGGAGGAAAGTGAAGCCATGAAAAATATATCTTCATTCTAAATCATTCTGATAACTATTGTAATGCTCTTGAATCTTTATTTATAATCAAAGATCCTAGAACATTAGACAAAAATAATCTAGGTTATTCTAAAATGACAGTTATTTGCCTTGATAATTGTAAATTGAAATAATAAATTGAACCACTAAAAAAATAAGAATAAGATACACAATGTTAAAAATAATGTACCCAATGCTTGGAGCTCCTGTCAGCTCAGTGTATGGGGAAGGGTTGACATACACATCCTACCCCCGTTTACAGAGAGGTTGCTTCTATGATTAAACCAGCGATATTCTAAGTACAATAAGGCAATTTAACGGCTGCTCTAGGTTCGTACACAATGATAATGATGCCCAAATGTTATGTTAGATATTCATCGAGAATGATCCTCATTATGAGTAATTACATCAATACTGGATTAAATTTGAATTTGGTTGATGAATTAATATCTAGTATGTGATTGATAAAGCATGCTAATATTGAATATTAATCTATGTCTGCAATTAGCAACCTATTTCACACTCTTCTATCTTTACAGCATCTTATTTCTTCTTTAATTATGAGCAGATTCCATAATATTTAGGTAATCCCTTAGATATAAAAAATTATCAGGTGAGCTAAACGTAAATAGGAGTAGGTATGTATGAGTGTATTTTCTTAAGCCTGTCAGCTCAGTGTATGGGGAAGGGTTGACATACACATCCTACCCCCGTTTACAGAGAGGTTGCTTCTATGATTAAACCAGCGATATTCTAAGTACAATAAGGCAATTTAACGGCTGCTCTAGGTTCGTACACAATGATAATGATGCCCAAATGTTATGTTAGATATTCATCGAGAATGATCCTCATTATGAGTAATTACATCAATACTGGATTAAATTTGAATTTGGTTGATGAATTAATATCTAGTATGTGATTGATAAAGCATGCTAATATTGAATATTAATCTACATGTCTGCAATTAGCAACCTATTTCACACTCTTCTATCGCTTTGAGATTCCAATGTGTAGCATGGAAGATGATTCAAAATACCGACCTGATGTCATCATGAATTTTCAGTTCTATGATTTGGAGAGCTGTGGAAGTGAACATGTTTGTTATAGATGGTAGCATATGTTGCTTCTAGGATGAGCATTAGCGATGGATGCTGAGGCAAAATTTTATTCAGCTTCATCTCTTACTTTAAAGTCATTAGCATGTCGTGAAGAAATTGTCTTTTAACAATTCAACTTCTTATTTATGCTTTCAAACGAGATAAGAGGCATATTGGCATCCTTGCCTTTATAGCCTTCGAAAGAAAAAAACATACCAAGCACATTCAATTCTTGCAATGTTTGTAAAAGGCTATACAAAAGTAATTATGTGATATTATACTAAGTGATGCGTAAAAGCATCTAGCCTTTTTGTCGAACTTAGTTAGACTCCTGAAGATAAAAAAGTATTATTAAGTTAAGAATAAAAATTTATAAATGCACATTATTTATTTATTTTAATTTTTAAAGATGTTGATACTAGCAATTATTTTGTAATTTTTTTATGAGAAATACACTACAGTGGAAGTGATTCACAGTTACATAAATTCGCATAAATTCGTTGGTTAAAATGGATTTTATTGATCTGAATATGAATATATTACAAAATGTATGGTTTTTTTTCTCATTTTTGCTACTATTTCCTGTTTTTATGATAGAAATCCCAGATCTATTATAATTCTTTTGCTATTTTAATTGGAACACAGCCATTCAGTATTTAAAACTTGTGATGAAATGTAATTGGATGCGACCTTCATGCTTCAAGGTTTGCAGTGCGTCATTTCAAACTTGTGTTGGATATTTCTGAAGCCTGCTCCGTAGAGTTGATTACTTCTATTTTAACATTCATTACTGCATGTCAGCTAGTAACAATTTCTTTAATTCTCATACCAAAAAAGTTTCACCTTCTATTTCTTGCACTTCTATCTTTACAGCTTCTTATTGCTTCTTTAGTTATGAGCAGATTCCATAATATTTAGGTAATCCCTTAAATATGAAAAATTATCAGGTGAGCTAAACGTAAATAGTGGCCGGTGCAGAACATTTATAAATGTTCAGTACAAAACAATACCTAGCAAACTACACTTCTCTTTAATAGTTGCTCCTTCAGTTCATTGATTTCAAACATTTTGTGACCAACAATTTCATCTTATGATTTGGACCTAATGCTATGTCATTTTGCAGTTGCATGTATGGGACTATACTGGCTTCATACCTCTGCTAGTTAAGAACAGAGCTGCAACAATCTTATTTGGAAATATTACAGCAGAAATGGTGTACAAATGCTACAATCAGAAAAGCATGAATCATACCTCTAATACTTCGGCCTTAACCGGTTTCGCCGGTGATGAAAGCCGAAGATCTGGAAGCAATTCAAAAGCTGGGAATGGTGGCAGAAATAAACCAAATTTCTATCATATCTGGTTTGTTTTATTAGAAGTTTTACTGAAGCAGCAAGAGAGCCCATTTCAGTTTGAAGTTATTGTTGACAAGGAGAAGGACATTGAGAATGGAAGATTTGAATTGACTTTGCTAAGAATGCCTTGTTATACAAGTGAGAGACCTTTCATCAAGTAAAAATATTAGTAAATGAGGGACCTCTTCAAGATTTTGCTACTGGGGATATCTTTGTGTTGCAGTTAAAAACATGGGAAGAGCATCTTTCAAGATTGATAATGTTTGTCAACCTGTGAAATAAAATCCTGAGTGAGTGATTCTTGAATTTATTTATATCTATTGATTTATGGTTTCTTCTAGTTAAAGGGTATAATCTAGTGAATGTTATGGCTCTGTAGATCTTTATTTTAAATTAAAACCAATTGTACGAGACCTTAGAGGACATGGATAAACAGAACCAATCTAGCCAGTACAGTGTATGGGATGAGTGCAAGGGGTTATTGTGCAGGTGAGTCGAGCTCATGCAATAGCAAGGGGTTTGACGCTTCCAAGTCTTGAATTGAGGGGTGAGGAAGACACAATTAGGGTTTTCTATGACTTTTTTTTTTTTTTTTTTTTAAATTTTGGGTAAGATCCGCCGAAGCGGGTTGCCTTAACCGCATGTGATTGGTAACAAAAAAAGCCCAAAAGCCGTTCTCGTCCCTGTCTGGGGAGATGCCAACCGTCTCTCCTGGGGAGATGCCAACCGTCTCTCCTTTCAACGAACACAACTTTTTTTTCTTTATTGTATAAGGTGAAACTCCTGTTTTCTTAATCCTTAAAGAGTCAACATATAGTTGAGATTGAGTTATGTTGTTAAAAAGAAACTTTCATCATGTTTATCCGAAAAATTTATACATGTTTCTTATTGATTGAAAGGTATAAATATAGATCGTTGGAGGCTTAGATCTTAAGCTAGATACTCAAGAGAACTCTATGACTTGGAGAATCTCGGAGCTCCACCTCGGACCTATCGCCAGTGAAGTCGTGCAACCAAGCAGTAATTGCTGAATCTTTGTCTGACCATCGTCGTCGGGCTTCTTTTTGGAAGCCATAGTTGGACCTCCGTCCGACTTCTGTTATCGATCAACTATGGTCCATCCGATCTCAGTCACCTGTCGATTACGGTTCCACCAACCACCGTCGTCCGTCGACTATAGTCCCTCCAACCCTAGTTGCTCGCCGACTACGGTCCCTCTGAAATCCATTGCATGATGATTACAATCTCTCATACCATAGTCTCCTGCCGATTATGGTCCCTCTGATCACCGTCATCTGCCGATTAGGATCCTTCTGAGCACCGTCTTTTGCTAACTATCTTCCTGCAAACCTCTGTCTCCTATCGACTAGGATCCCTAGAACCAATGTAGCCCGCTGACTACAGTCGCTCCGACCTCCATCACCCGCCAACTTTGGTCCTTTTCGATCATCGTCGCCTGTTGATTATGGTCCCTTTGACCTATGTCACATATCGACTACGGTCCCTCCAACCTCCGTTGCTCGACTACGATCCCTCTGACCTCTGTAATAGACAACAGCCCCTTCGATCTCAGTCGCTCGACTAAGGACCCTTCAACCTTCATCATCTGACTACAACCCCTTTGGCCATCGTTGCCTACCTATTATGATTTCTCTAACTACCATTGCCCGATTATAGTCCTATTGATAAAATGAATAAGCCAACATCCTCTTAAGAATGACTCTCATGCCATCAAATTCCTCCAACTCCAAACAAGTCAAGCGCAACTATGGTCCTTACAACCTATGTATGACTATGTAATGTGCTCCATATGATGTATATTGAGCCAACCGCTTCTCCTGAGAAAGAGCATCATTTGTAATCAACAATAAATAATAATGGATTCATTTCAACTGGGCAAGATCCATGATTTTTTCTTATTTAAGGGGTTTTCACGTAAAAATTATAACGTCTCTAATGACTCTTGCACTCATCTCTTTTATCTGTCTGTGTGCTAGATCTTCGTACAGAGCTTGGACGCTAAACTCTTATCTACAACCACGAATTTTCTGGCACATGGCACACAACAAACATCATGATTGATATATTTTATTGCTTGATTTTATGTAATGAATCTATCTAATTATGATATATGATAGACACACCCATCATGGGATGAGATGTTTGAATCTTTTTTATTTGAAGTTGAAACTTGATTTAAGCTGTAAATTCCTCCAATTATGATGTGTGCTAGCTATGTCCATCACAAGGGTGAGATATTTGAATTACTTATATTTGAAGTGGAGACTTGATCATGGCAGTAAACCAATTGTAATTGTAATGCACCTCATAGGGTGAGATATTTAAATATTTTATATTTGAGGTTGTGGCATGATCTTGCCAGTGAAACCTCCGATTAAAATATGCAATAACCATGCCCATCATAGGGTGATTAAATGATTAATATTTCTTGTGTTAAACTTGCTGTCTTTACTTTTTTAGAATTTGTTATGCCATTTTTAAGTATTTTTTCATGTTTTTAATTTTTCTATTGGTCTTTTTAAGTTCAATATCCAAAAGTGTTCTATTTGTTGTTCATTACTATGCATACAATAGTAAGCAACATAATAAAAAATATATAAAATATTGAACAATAACAATTAACAATAAGGCAACATGAAGTGGGTAAAATTAAAAAATAAAACTAGATTAAACTAGCAATTTATTCAGAAATATAAAATGAAAAACATGATAATTAATTTCAAATGATGATCCCAAGCAATGGAGCCAAAAATTTGATAGGAACATATTTGTATTTGCTTTAGAAGATTGTTTAATTTGCTAAGGTGTAAGTTTTATTTTATGCAAGTGCACATGTTGTGTCAAGTAATAAAGTGATGAGAAGAGTATCATTCCTAAGAGGAACCATGAAATTTCCAATATTCACTTTAATACTGCCTAATTAACTACTATATTTATCTAGCACAATAATTTAAATAGGTTGTGCAAATTAAAATAAAAAGTTATGATTATAGAAGGTTAGTTCATTGTTTATAAAAGTTCTAGACCTTTGATATTTATAAAAATATGATTGCATAAGAGTGATTTTCTTCCTATTATTGTTGTGAATCAGAGCATAAGTACTCCTCATATCTGTCAATCACATTGCAGCATTAGCTAGGTTTCATCCTAACTACAATTTTACTATCTCCTTAAGATCCCATAACTAACCATCTTATATTTATGTTATGGAAGGAATATATTTTAAAACCTTTAATTATTTCTCTACTCCTCCGTTGAGGTTCTAGATCACACTAGATTTTAAGTTTATAGTAGTCCTATACATAAACTAAATAAAGCTTAGAGGATTTAAAAATAGCTTAAATACATTAAAAAGATCAAACCTACTTTATGCAGTACATGACTAATATAATCATAGATTAGGAATAAAAAATTATCTACACAGAGATAAATTTACATGACACAAATACTTTTATTTCACTAATAAAACAACATAATACAAACTATAAAGTAAAAGGTAAATAATAAAAAAAAAGGTTAGAAGTGAACCGGATCTAAGGTACAGACTTTGTACTTCTCCACTTTAATCTACACTAATACAAGATATAAAACAAACATACAAGAGTCACTCCCTCTTAAGAATAGTCTCTCACAAACACTCGCATACACACTCACGACTCCATAACGGGCTAGCCCTTTACATGAAAATTGAGGCTAATATATACATTTTTAAAAATAATTGAACGTGTGCCATGATTCAAGATTGGTGGCGCTGTGGCGGTGCTAGACTGATGTCTTGGATCACCATTGATACCATTCATTCATCAGTCTAACTATCTCCCATCATGAAATTGGATGATTTGGCACTACGATGCTCCATATGGTGCTACAGCTCTTCATAGATAACGCTTGGTGTTAAGCTCTCCAAAAGATTTTTTTGCGGGCTCTTCGCTGCAACACTATGATGCTAGGGTAAGCTATGGTGTTGAAAACACTGATTCTATAGTGTTGCGATGTTGGTTCAATTTTTATGATTTTTTAACATATTTCCTACACAAAAGTAAAAGTATCAAAAGGATAAATATTATAAAATATACAATATGGACTTAGCAATTTTTCTCTTATCTCATATCATGAAAATGGTTAAAGAGGTTCCTAAGCCCCTTTGGTTTAGTCTAGGTTGAAAACTCTATACCTCTTTCTAAAGTCTGTATAGGTTAGGTTTACACCAAAGTTAAAACATCTAAGAACTAAAAGATGTTGATAAAGAGAGTTTAGACCTCATTAAAAAAAATGAGAACAACAGTGTTGCCTCCTAATAGGCTTGAGGATGATAAAATCAATGTGTGAGCTCTCTTTTGTTTAGCCTCAATTGTGGAGAGTAGGCTTCAAATGATTCTACTAGTTAGCCCTGGCAAGTGGCATGGCAATACTAATGACTTGTGTAGAAGATCTAAAGCTGCCTTAAGGAAAATACGAGTGAGATGTTGCTTGGTAGGGACTCTACTTTATATATGAGAGACTTAATACCTTACATGTGGATAAATTATATATGATAATAAAACTGCTTGCCACTACAAGTTCTTAGGCTAAATGCTCTGAACTAATGTAAGTGCATGTGTCGAACCCATGAGAAATCACAATTTTCTCTAGTACTACCTACTTAAACTACGAAATTTATCCTACCTTATGAACCAAGGGTTAATTGCTAGAACTACTTAAAAATGCATAAAATAGTGAAGATAACAAATAATAAAGATAATTTAGATTAATGATGGTGAATGAATCTATGTTCTCCTAAGCAGATTCATCTATAATAGTTGAGAATTAAAGCTTATGCTCCCTAAGATCTCTGTCAAACTTATAAAGGTGTAAAGAAAAATTTATGACATCTCTACAATTATTATATTTTCATAGATCATAGAATCTTACTCGTCATATATCTAAGTATGAAATCGTTCTATTTCAATACTCCTAATTGTTACAATATTCCTCCATCGAAGCAATGTATCACACTAAATTTTTAATTTATACATGGGCATAAATTAAATTAAGCACGTGAGATATTGTAAAAAATAATTCACATTCATCTTTAAGAGTTTGCATTAGGATATACATTGATTATCATAACATCAATCCAAAACTAGAGTTTAGCTATTATAAAAATAAAATTGAACATAATATTTTCCATTACTTGCTCAAGAAAAGAGTATAAATAGAAAAGACGAAGAAAATAGTACCCATATAAAGAATCCTAAATAGATTATGCAAATGGACGCTTCCCACAGTGATTATCCATCCACTTATGCCTTCACTCTCCACAATCCTTTTCACTCATATGTATAGTTTGCTCTCTATAAGGATAAACAGTCACTCCACTGCATTTAACTCACTATCCTTTGGTTCCTCTCTCATAAAAGAAAAAAAAAATATTTATACTTAACATAAACATACTCAGAAGCCGCAGCGCTCGACAGGGTGGCACTGTAGCATTACAATATAAACTAGCGTCTTAGTGCTGATAAATATGCTATACTATGGCATTCGGCAGATTTGACGTGATTGTTGACTTATCTGGCATGACTCTTCTTTTCTCTAAATACTTTGTCGCGACGTTAAAAATGATGATTGTTGTGGTGCTTTGCTTATGTCATCTTCATTGCGGCGTTTTTGAGGTTGGCACTCCACAGTTGAATTATTTGCAATTTTTTCCAAGGCTCTCGTATTGCAATGCTCATTTGCAACACTGTGGCACTGAGTAGCATTGCAACACTGTTCTTTGTTTCGCCGGGGTACTGAATTAAATGAAAACTTCTCCAGTGTGAGACCTCGTTCCCTTACTGTTCCTCTCTGATTTGGATTTTCCTCTCAGGATCGTCCAGGATGATTTTTCCAAGTTTGATCTTGGGGCATCACATCCAGTCTCCGTCACTGCAATATCCTATTTTGACGTCGGGGCATTGAAGACGCTACGGTGTTGATAGTTCTGGCACTAGGCTCTGGTTCTCAACTTTGCAATTTTTGCTCTTTTTCCTGAGACAATTCTAAATGAGTGCATGGCACTTCTTAGTAGGCTCAAGCGAGTAGAGTTTTGACGTGGTATCTCTAATTTTCCTCGTGCATGGCAAACTCCTTAGTAGGCTCAAGCGAGTAGAGTTTGTTATCTCCTTATATGAGTTCCTTTGACAATTCTAAATGAGTGCTTCAAAGGAAACCCACTTGAGGACGAGTAGGGCAATTTTTTAAACCAAGTATCGTATTAATTATAATTAAGCGATTAACCAACGCTTTAAAAAAAATTTAAAACTCGCCAAAGTCGCCCGTTTAACAGACGACTTACTTGAAAGGGTTAAGTCATAGTTGATGGACGTGGTAAGGCAGATACTGATTGGGCATTGTATCACCAGGAAAGTATTGCACTATGGGAAAGCAGGAGAGCATACATTATTACTGGAGAGATTCCTGAGTTGGACTATGATTATAAGGTGAAGCAGTACTTAGCATGGTTTCATTCTTGGGCTACACTATACATGCTAAAGCCCCCAATGGATCATCCGAGTACATACTATCCAAGATCACCAGCTGAACGTCACATTGGTAAGTTTAAGTTATTTAAATTTAATTATATGATAAACTTCAACTGAATTACTTATCCTTGCAGTGAGATTTCTTTGTGAGCATGGAGAGGAGATTGCAACCATACTTCAGAGGTACTGAGGGGACACCTTTACAGGTGGATGTGAATATTGTTGGAGATATGTGCCAAAGATTACGACAACAGATATACATTGACGATGCTCATTATTTTGACGAGGCAGATACTCAGGTGTTTAGTCCACCCGTTCCAACTGCAGATCCATATGATGCTGGGCCGTCCTCCTATCCTGATCTTGGTCCCTCTCAGAGCCACTTCACAACTGAGTTTGACGTCACCTCCACACCTCAGTTCGTACCTTTCTCCTTGGGAGAACCCCCAGTTACTTAACAAGATGTTAGTGATCAGGAGCAGCGCCATCTACGTACCAGGCCACTACGAGCACCTCAGCATTTTACTCCAGACACTGATGAGATTCCACATCGACATAAAAGAAGGCATTAGTTTTTTGTATCATGTATCTTTTAGTTGCTTTAGTTAGATTTTGATGTTTATATTTCTTATTATGCTACTATGGAACTACTGTTTTGTATCATGGAATTAAATTTATTATGCTCTTGCATTTACTCTTACATGAAGTTTGATCTAAAAAGCATAATGTTGGATGATCCAAGAACATTTGATTTTTTAAAAAATTGGTAATATTTGATATACATATATATACATATTCTAATTTATTATTATGAATTAGAGGATATATAACTTCTCATCTATGAGAAGCTTATTAGAGTAATTAGCAAATATACACTTTACTATAATTATTTTATCTCCATAATATTCCCAGAGTTTTATCCATTATATATATGCTTAATAGAACTCCATTCTAACCCCCCTATTTGATTCCACTATCCCTTTGTCGAGGACTTGTATCACACAAGGTTTTAACTTTGTGTAAGGTCTTTTTGCATATTAAATTAAGAATGAGGGTATCAAAAACAACATTATACCATTCAAGGATCTGAGATTTAATATTTGTAAACATGGATTCTAAATATATCAAAAACATGAAAAATTGATTAAGCCTCATATTATAAATATATATATATATATATATATAGCAAATGCATCTTTTCTTCCTAAAACATATTATATAATAATTAATCATAATCCTTTTTAGTTGCATTTTTTTTTAAATTCACAAAAGTAAGTCGCCCGTTTAACGTGCCACTTACTAGTACTACATTATCCAATTATTCATACACATAACGGGTAGTTCTCAACAGGGTAAGTCGCCCGTTTAACAGTCGACTTTGACGAGTTTTAAATTTTTTTAAAACATTGATTAATCATTTAATTATAATTAATACGACACTTAGTTTAAAAAATTTCCCGGACGAGTATCTTTTTTATGACCTGATTACTACATATGAAATATATGTGAAGATCTTTATGATTATACACTATAAGAATAACTTTCATTTATTACAATTCTTGCCCACTTCTTAACTTTTTTTATCATTTAAATGAAATTCATATTTACATTCGAAACCATAAAACCCTAAATTTATAACTTCTCATTGGAGTCCTAATCACAACACCCCAACGGGAGCTTCGAAGAAGTCTTCCCTTTGGTCCGTCTACGGGAAATTCCACGCGGCGAATATGCTCATTAATTAAAAAATAAATAAAAACACGGCACGCGTGGCCGTTCACTGACGCGTGTCCTACACGGCGTACGCAATTCCCATACTACCCTCGTGTCGTTATTAAGTAAAGCGGTTAAATAAAGCGTATTAACGTCTCTTCACATTGATTAAGGATAACCCAATGCTGCCATGGCCCACTTCAGTCCACCACCCGGTCAACCGGTTAAGTAACGCACCGACCCGTATCCATGACCATCTCGTTAGCTTATAAAGTGCAGTGTTACCAGAGGCTGATAGAACAGAGCGGAGAAGAAATTGAGAAACTTACGGAGAAATGGATCCTCCCTCTAATGACGGAAAATCGCTTCGGAGCTACGCGCTCAGCGGCAAGATCATGCTCTGTGCTATTGTGGTGCTCTTCACCGTCGTGCTCCTCATCCTCTTTCTACACCTCTACGTCCGCTGGCATGTCATACGCAGAGCCTCACGTCGGGCTCGTCGCCGCCGGGCACTCGTCTTTGCTGGAGAGGGGCGGATCCCGCCTCCTTGCGCGGTTAATCGAGGCCTCGACCCCTCGATTCTCGCATCCTTCCCCGTTCTGCTGTTTTCGGACTACGCGGGGGAAGGCCGGGATGATGAATTGGCGGAATGTGCTGTGTGCTTGAACGAGTTCAAAGATGGAGAGAAGATCCGATGCCTTCCCCGGTGTGCTCACCTCTTCCATGTCGACTGTATCGATATGTGGTTCTCCTCACACTCCACCTGCCCGCTTTGCCGCGCAGCTGTCGAGGTGGTGAAGGATGCCGCGACGATCACTTCTTCCGGTGCCGGGCCGGCGGTTGATGCCATTGATGCAGCGGTGGATTCGAACGGGAACGAGCTGTGCTCGTCCTGCGAGCGGGTGGAGGAGATGGGTTCTTCCTCATCGGATTCCGGCTTCCGAGATGTTAGGATTGAGATTCCAGCGAGTGGAGCTGAAAGTTCGAGCGGTCAAGAAGAGCAGCAGATAAGTTCAGGGCTCGAATCGCCGGATGTGCAGCCATTGAAATCGGCGGGCAGCCGGATGGTGCTAATCCGGTGGCTTCTGATGCGCGATCCGCGGCTCTATTGGGGAGGTGGTTCAGGATCGGAGCTGGATCTAGAGCGCGGCGATGGGGAATCGCCATCGCCGCCGATGACAACGGCAGCTGATCCGACTCGTTAGTGCCGATTTTGGCCTAAACGGAACCGGAAAGGGCCGAAACAGCAGCGGTAACGCGGCACTCTCATAAAGTGCTCCTGTAAAGATTCTCTTCAATTTTATTTGGATTTTAATAAGTTTCTTCCTTCTTTATCTTATCTGTTTTCGGGATGGGATTCAGCCGAAAGTGGCAGACTTGGAAAAGTTGAAGTTATTAGGACCGTTTTAATAAAGTTAAAAAATAATATTTGGGCCTCTTTTGAATATTTTGTGCGGCTAATGTGAAAAAATTGAAACTAGCCAACAAGGCATTGGTGTTTGCAGTTTAAGTAGGTTTTGTTCGAAACGGTTTTTTTTATTATTTTTTAAAGTATTTATTTAATAAAAGAAAATTAAAATTTTATTAAAAAGTTATTTTTAAAAGCACTAAAAAAATTATTTCAAATGAAGCTATAATCTGCAAAATAAAAATATTAATAATTATTTAAGCCGTCTCGCAAACTCATGAGCCAAGCTTCATCAAGCTCGAACTCGAACTCGTTTACTAAACGAGCTCGAGTTTGAGCTCGAGCTCGACTCGTGAGATTGATAAGCTCGGCTCACAAGCCTATAAACGAGTTGAGCTCGGTTGCTCCGCCCACCTACACCCCTAGGTTTGCAGATTTCGTCATCTGCTCATTTTTAAATTAATGAGAGCATTTTTTAACTTTAGAAAAAATGATTATTACTTCAAGAGAAATTATTATTATTTTTTTTCTTAAATTGAAGCAAAGTTATCAAATTTCTCACTCACTCTTATTGTATAATAATAATAATTCACGGTAACCATCTCTACTGAAAACAATCACCAACCCAACAAAAAGAAATACAGCCTCCGGATGGGCAAATTATTGCGTCTGGTGTCCGGATTCGTCCGGACACCAATCCGGTGTCGTCACGTTACCAAAATGCACCGGGATCCAATGTATTTGGGTGACATGGCATCACCGGATTGGATGTCCGGACATCCGGTGACCGGACGCAATAATTCGCCCCAAATGACAAAAAAACCAAACAGCTAGAGCCTCACACAAAGCGGAGACAGCAATTCACAGATAGGCTGAAAAAATACAGCACAGAAGAAATCCAAGAAGAGTGATCCACCAAAAACATCAAAGAAGATGTAATATTTTTTCCATGTTCTTCCATTTGCATATTTTAGAAAAAATTGATTTCTTAATGGTGTGACAAAGAGTATAACTGCTATTTGCATGTCCACCAAACCTCATTTCATTTCTTTCACGCCACAAAGTGTAAACCAAACAGCACGAGAGGAATAAATAAGTTTCTAGAGTCAGAGTTAAAAGCAGAATTATCATGAATCCATTCCAGCAATTGTTGTAAAGTAGGTCTAAAATAAATGGTATTAACGGGATGATGCCAGAGATAACAGATAAAGAATAATCGCACTCAAAAAATAAGTGGGAAGAACTTTCTAAGTTATTATGACAGAAACAACAGCTTCTATCCTCAACCACTACAGAAAATTCAATGATTACCGGCGGTCTGAACCGGCAATTATCACCCCGCCGGTAAGAACGGCGGTTTGGCCGCCGGTTTTTACCGGCGGTCTAAACGGCTGTTATGTAAGTTGATGTCGCCGGTTTAGAAACCGCCAGCTAAACGGCCGGAGTTAAATGCTACCGGCCCTTTACCGACGGCTAGAACCGCCGGTGTTAAGTGAACTTTGTTCCGGCGGCTTTAACCAACAGAAAACCGAATACCTGAGCACATGATGTTTATGGAAGATAAGTTAAGAGATTGAAGAGAGGGGATTTCATGAATGTTTAAATCATTGCACCAGTGATCCCAATAAAGTGAAACGGGGCAGGAGGGATGTATCAAGAATTTAAATGAGCTCCTTCTTTGGCCGCAGTATTACAAACATACTTCCAAAACCTAGTGGCAAGGGGGTACTTGCGATTTTCATAAATTAATGTTATTTTAATTTAATATCATTATGAATTAAAAAAAACATGAATTTACATACATCAGAGCTACGAACTCCCCTGATGTCGTCTATATCAAATAGTAAAGTTTCTTTAACTAAATCATATGGAAATTGAATTTTAATAGAATTATTGCAATTGCAAAAATTATAACTTAATTAAAGAAAATTTTTTTGAACTTATGATGATGAATGATGCAATAATTTTTTAAGAAGACTCTTCTAAGATATATTGCATCACTACCACTCCACAAAGTGCAAGTGCTCCATAGAAAATATTTCGAACAGTTAAGCAGTGTAGGAATTTTTACTTAAATGTAAATTGAACTACAAAAATCACTAACAATACTAAAATAACATATACAATTATCAAGGACATAAATAAATATTGCAAATAAACTAAGTATATACCCAACATCGCATAACACAATTTGGTTGTCTCCCATGAGTACTAAGTTTATAATTTTCGGTCAGACTTATCTAGATATATCATTTTGGCTGAGTTGCATCATTACCACTCCACAAGTGGTCCACACTAAAATCCTTCTCTTTCTCCTTTAAATTTACTTCAGTATTACTGAGCAATATTCCATGTGGTCTACTACTAAAAGAGATTGCAAGCAATCATAGTTGGTTTCTGAAGTTCTTAATCGAAGCAATTTGACTTTGAAATCAAGTTCCCAATTGAATCACTACAGTCTTTTTGAATTCTCTAATTTATGTTAGGGTCCTCTCAATCTTTAAGTTTGAAAATACTGATGCTAATTCTACTTTTATTGGTCATAAAATTAAAAAGTAGTATATCTCAGAGTATCTAAATGGAAGAATGATGAAATTTTTTTTGGAACTGTTGTAAAGCGGAAGCTAGTTGCTCTTTTGATTAACTTTCATTATAATGGTCTGACTTTGTTAGGCATTTTTGTGTCTTCTGTTTTCCTTTAGAATGCATTTTTATTGGCTCTTCATGAACTTGCTCCTTTTATGCTGGAGTTTTTAGCTTCTTTTTTTACATGTAACTTTTCTTTTACCTGTAAAATTCTTTTCTATAGAGCAATGAAAGTTCTTTGCCCATAGCTCTTTCAAAAAAAAAAAATCATGCGTGAAAATTTTTTTATCTATCAATGATATAACATTACCAAATATAACCGTTGGTGTTCTGTGTTCGTCGAAGACTGATCGACTCTATTTATTCCACAGGCCGAGTAGCCAAAAGTAAGGGTCTCACCGTTGCTTTAGATTCATCTAATTCCATAGTGAAAGACTCGCTATACCCCCAGATTTGGAGACCATTTGATTTTTATGGTGGGAAAGATCATCAAGGCAGAGGTCGGAGCACCGCCGCGTGCGGAACTCACTCCAAAAGCGAAGGTACCCGATTTCTTTATTACCTAACACGATTCCATCTGCCATAGCCCCACCCGTATGAGTTACATTTGCTTGCAAACAATGGTAGGTTGATTAATAATACATAATAACATGAGATTATTAAATTATTTTTATATTTTAAGTGCCATCAAATTATTATTATTTAAAAAATTGTCAGTGGAACAACCTACCATTTCTCTTTCATGAACACGTGTCGTTGTCTGTGTATTTTTGCTTCTATTTTTAGTGCATGTATAAGATCGATCGACTTTTGCCTTGTGCTGCTGCGGAGAGCTTCAGCGATTTGATACCAATTGAACAATAATATGAATGCACATGGTGAAGATATTATACACGCAACTAATAGCGTCCATAACGGGCGGGGCGGGCCGGGCCCATGCCGGCCGGTTAAGTTGTTTGATACCCGTTATAATGTGCTGCAGTCCGCTTTAACGTAGTGCGTTCTCCAACCCTTTTTGTTTTTTCATTTTTTTTTAAGTGCTTTCGGTGGGGAGGCTTCTCAGACGCCCACGTCATAAGCTTTGAGAATATAATTATAGGTTTTAAATAAAAATAATGTTGAGTGTTTATGATCATGTGACATGTCTATAATTAGGTATTATAAGAGAATAATAGAATGGGATAGTGCACAAAAAATATTTAAATAAAATATTTATGATATAAATAATTGGTAATATATCTAAGCTTAATGTATCATAATTAAATACTTGCAAACATAAATGAAAGTTTTTGAAAACTATTTGAAGGGGCAAATATTCTATATAATTTTCATGCTTATAATCTAAGTGAGTATTTCGGCAAAATTAACTTAGTGAGCCGGAGATTGCTCAACTTTAATCTCATCAAGTTACTAAAATGTTCAAGAAAAATATTTGATGAACAATAGGGCCAATTCAAAACATCTAGTTTTGTTATTTTTTATAGAATTAATTATCGTAATTGATATGTCAGTAAAAAATTATCTTGATCAGGCACGAATCTCAAAGCAAAATTGAATTGAAAGCTTCCAAAATTAAATCAAAGACCATATGAGTTCCGATTTCAACAAACTTATAGTCAAACTGAACGTCTCAGAAAGACAAACCCATCGACACCAAATTCGACTCAATCCGAGCCCATCCTATTAATCACTCAATCCTATTAGTATTCTAAGAAAAACTAAAATGAATGCCCACCATCATAGGAGATATCTCATACATTTTATGACTCTTTCAATGACCATCATAGAAGATATCATTTGTACTACAAATCTATCATGCTATGATAATGCCTTCTCAAGTAATAGGAAAAATCATAATTTATAATTATTTCCTTACATTAATAAAAATATCTAAATTATATTATGCTTAAAGATTTTTCTATTTTATAGATTTTCTATATAAGAAATAATCTTTTTCTTATAAGCTACTCTTAACTTTTTTTATGAGTGTATAAGATTTTCATTTGATTCCAAGATGAAAGAAAATTCACCTATCATCATAATTTTTTGAACATGCAATTGGTTGGTGCTATTTATAAAAGATTTTGACATTATCGGAGGCTTTTAACCTTTGTTATAGCTTTGAAAGTACATTCATGTAAACATCTTGAGTGCAGTTTTTCTTAGGTAATATATTTCTTTTGTCATAGGTTGATAAATTAGTTATATGGGTAGCAAGTTAAGGTTGGGGGCAAACTAACTACAATTATAGACAAACATTCATAAAAGATTGTTGCCAGACAACTTCTCCTTTTTACCATCTATAAATGCATCAAAGAAATCCCTTCATTGGAAATAGTGCATAAATATCAAAATTATTGATCCTGGTGTTGAAAAAGTTGACTTAAAAATCTTATTTACACAAAAGGCTCATGGAGATCACAAAGTTGATGTCTACGGACTGATAATCTT